TTTATAGATTTTGGATACTAGCCCTTTATCTGATCTGTCATTTGCAAATATCTTCTCCCATTCTGTTGGTTGTCTTTTGGTTTTGTTGACTGTTTCCTTTGCTTTGCAAAAGCTTTTTATCCTGATGAAGTCCCGATAGTTCATTTTTGCCCTTGCTTTCCAAAGGCAAAGGCAAGGGAAGCAAGGGCAAAAATTGAAATACCTTTCTTGATAGTAGCTGGTCCAGAGGGTCTGCAGAGGCCCAGAGGTGAACACAAATCTCTTTTCCTTTCTACTTTCTATGTTACAAGTTCCTACTTTTCTGAGTTAGAGTAAATAAAACTGTTGATGTCACCAATATGGAAGTTACGGCAATAGCTGTCCAGCTTTAACAGCTCACTGGCCTCAATCCCCATCATAACTAGGCCTCAAGGTAGCTAGTGCGGTTGTAAGCCCACGTCATAAAGACGATAACCCTGAGAAGATCTGAAAAGGAATGTACTGCCCATGAAAATAGGACACTGGTTTCTTTTAGTGGTCAAGGTTGGCTGCTATCATTTCTACATGTTCTGTCCTCAGAATGTAACTGAGAGAAGACTATTTTGGCTCTATAGCTGCCCTTGTTTTCTGACAAACTGATACAGTGACAGCCAGGACAATTTTACCTAGGTTATCACAAGTACATGTATTTGTGAGAAAGAGGTATCTTTTTCTTTTGATGAAAGAGGGCCACGTATTGGTTTTTGGTGCCATCAGTATGAATTAGGGAGGTAGCCCGGGTGCTATTTATTATCAAAAGCAAGTTTGACAACTGGAAAAGTCGAATCTGTAAATTTAGAAACCTTCCTTCTGGAAAATCACGTTATTGATGTCAAGGTCATTTATGATAGCCCCACCTAGGGGAGCGGGAGAGAAATGGGAGTTGAGTAAATAATCACTTCAGACATGATCAAAGAATTATTTGGGGACAACCAAATAATTGTACAATTTACAACCTCTTATCAAATGGGTCTTGATGCAGCTTGTTCTCTTGATCACTTTTCCTGGGATCTGAGCTTTATTCAGATATATGGAGGCATATATGCATTCTTTGAAAATGTTTCATTTTACTTACTTGTATCAGAAAGTACACACATGAATTTAGATGGATTTCTGTTACTGTTGACATTTACAAGAACAGAACAATACCTAACTTTCTTACTTTTCTGAGCTACGCACTATTAATTTTCTCTCTAGGACCCACACCTAGGGCTGTTTGGGTCATATGTTAGAGTGTGAACTGGGGACAACTCTGTGTTAATGTTGGTAAAAAATAATAAAAACAAAACAAAAAACCACAAAAACCAAAGCCAAAAGAACCCCCAAAAAACCCACAACCCCACCCTTGGTGAGCAGGTTATCAGTCAGTGGTTATTGGGTCAACATGATGACCATATGCATTACAGACTTCATTTTTTAACCTGCACGTTCAGATTTTGATGAGGTACTCTTGAGCTGTGAAAAAAAATAATTTGTTTGTATGTATAAATTCGGCTTTCTTTGAAGACAGAATTTGGATTGCGCTAGGGTTATGTTATATATCTAACGTAAGTTGACACATGCAATTCCCCTGCCTGCAATGAATATTAAAACTGCAACCTGAATCAGGTTATCTAGACCTAAAATTGTTTTTTCATCAGAATGCAATTAATGAAAATGAAGATGCTCTTTTCGGATTTCGACACCTCAGCAAGATGTTATTTTTCTGATTAAAAAAATATTTTCAAACCCAGACTTTCACCTTAGAAACGCTTTTGATAGCAATGATGATTCAAACTATCAACAGTAGATAGGCCCCTATATATGTACCGGCTATTTTTCTTGCCAATGTATGAGATGTAGCGACTACTGGTTAGAGTGCAGCAGAAGTTCTTAAAATAGCACACGTCCTAAATACTAATCTCAGTACTATCACATTTTGAAAGGTAGTAAGTCAACTGAAACACACAAACACAGGAAAGGAATTCACTAACTTATTAGATAGGACACATACTACGTGGTAAATATTCACTGGCACATCTTGGGAAACTAACACATCTTTTAGAAACAAAACACTCAACAGCCCCCACGATAAGGAGAAGTTGCTGTGTTTAAAAACAAAAACAAGAAGAAGGCCAGTTCTACCTAGAAACCACAAGCTGACAATTCTTTGGAGTCTGTTCAGTCTCCCTTTGATGCTGTTCATCGAATTGGAATGGGCGACAGAGATGGGCAGGTTGGCTAGCCTCATCTGATAGCTGGTGGGGACTACCGAGCTCGTCCCGCAGCCCCGTGGGGAAGTGGCGTGAGATCCTGATGAAGGTCAGAAATCTGCGTGGCAGCAACAGTAGCAAAGTGGCACCTGGAGCTTCAAGGAAGCAAGGGTAAGAAAAGCAAAGCCAAAGGGGAAAGCACCCGGCTGCACCTCTGCTGATTCGGGGCAAACACCCCTGCAGTTGGTTGTGAGATGGACTTCGAGTTAACAGGCATAAAAAGGCAAATCATAGCAATAATAATAATCATACTAACAAGAACAAAAAAATGGAAAATGTGACTATAAAAGATAGTGAAGATAACTAGGAGTTTCCCTCTCCTTTCTGGTGGTGGTGGTGGGGGGGGGTGGGCAATGAGGGAATCAGATTCTATGTCACCTCTGAGAGCAAGGAAATTACAAATTTTCTCTTGTGTTCCACAACGGGATAGGGGTTTGACTTAGAGCCGCGTTGTAACTTGTTCTTCCTGTCCATCACCCCATTTGTGCATGAGCAGGTCGCAAGCCTCTCCCCAAGTTTCAAATACGTCCTCCGAGGAGTCTAAAAGTTTAGAATTTGAGGAGCAGATGCTGGATGCACAGTGGAGAGAGCTAGAACAGGCTAGGGGGCATTCACTGCTCTCAGCAGCGCCCCGGGCTTCACCTAATTCTACCTCACTGAGGTTAATTTCGCTTTGAGAGCAGGCCCCTGCTTTCCCTTTCTCCATCTGAGAATATCTGATGTCCTGCCACATATAATGCTGCTGAGCGATGCCATCTGAAATGGTGTACATTGGCTCTGAACTGGGTTCAGACATATGACCGTTAAACTTGGAGAACAGGAGCCCGAGTTTCTTGAGAGAAGGACCCATGAAGGACCGTTTGCTTGATGACTCAGCTTTTGGCTTCCCTTGGGCACCCCCGGCTCTCGGCATGGTTCTGATGAGAGGTGGCCCATGGCAGGCCTTTTTCTTGCAGCCTAAGTTGAAAGAGACACTCTTGGATTTGGCCCGAGCCCCACCACTGCCATCATGAGTATCATCCCTCTGAGAGAGTTCAGTGCTGCTTGTGGAAAAGCTTCTCCTTGAGTGCTTCCTATTTCCTAAGAGGTCAAGTACTTCATATCGAAAGCTGGAGATGTCCTGCTTTAATTCCTAGGGCAAGAGAGAAGACACCTTACATTAAGAAGCTTGGTCTTTAGTTCAAAATAGGCTCATTGGGTGTCCTTTGGAATGTTCCAGGTTTTGCCTAATGGCAAATCACAAAGTACACAGACTACCAGCAAAATCTCACATTATTCCAGCACAAGAAAAACATGTGAATAATTCTGTGGGCAGGGCTGGCCATTGGAAAAATTGTGCAGTTGGCAAAGTTGATTTCAGATGGCCCTTATCAGGAGGACACCAACAGACTTGTCCCTGCTAAAGCGCTAACCTGCAACTAAGGTACTAGCTCTCATCTGCATATAGAAAGACTGTGGAAGATGAAAAAGCTTTTAGGACCCTAAGGAATGAAAGTAGGGAAGTGGAACGTGTCAGGTTAGAGACTGCTCTTTGGGGACAGGGGGTCCTGTCCACTCAAGTCCCGAGGAAATGTCATCTTCTTCTTCCTCTTTTTTTTTTTTTTTTTAAGATTTTATTTATTTATTTGTCAGAGAGAGAGAGCGAGCACAAGCAGGGGGAGTGTCAGGCAAAGAGAGAAGCAGGCTCCCCACCTGAGCAAGGAGCCCGATGCGGGACTCGATCCCAGGTCCCTGAGCCGAAGGCAGATGGTTAACTGATTGAGCCACCCAGGTGTCCCCAGGAAATGTCTTCTCTAACTGACGGCCTAGATGCTAGATTGCTCCTTTAAAAGCCACCTTTTAAAAGCTTAAGTTGGATCCTATTGCTCCCCTGCTTAAGACTTTTTAGTAACTTGTCACTGACCTTGGATAAAAGTAGAAATGCCATTCCAAGGGCTACAAGGTCTTTCAAGACCCCGTGTCAGCCCTTCCTACTCTTTCCTCGGGCTCTCTACTGTCCACCTGCATGGACATAGTCTCTCTTGCCTCTGGGTCTTTGCCTGTGCTGTTCTCTCCACTTAGAACACTCTTCTCGGCGATTCTCCTTTATCTGGCTCCTCCTGCAAGCCTCAGCTTAAACACAGCTTCTTCTGTAAAGCTGCCCTGACTCCCCAGATCCCAGTTGTGTCCCTGCTCTCTGTCCCACAGCACCCTGTGTTTATCCTGTCAGAATACTCAGTCATTTGTCACCTTCTCTTGTTACTGTCTGTGTGTCACTCCATGAGAGTGGGGGCTGGCGATATCTTGCTCATCACTGTACCCCAGCACCCAGTGGGGTGCTTCGCACACAGCAGGCCCTCAATAGATGAGTTATATCTATGGATTAGGATAATGGCCTTTTAAAAAAAGATTTATTTATTTATTTGAGGGCGAGAGAGAGAGGTGGGGAGGGGCAGAGGGAAAGGGAGAGAAACCCAAGCAGACCGTGCTGAATGTGGAGCCCGACTCGGGGCTCGATCCCATGACCCTGAGATCATGACCTGAGCCAAAACCAATAGTCAGAGGCTCAACCAACTGCGCCACCCAGGCACGGATAATGGCCTTTTTATGTTCCTTAGAAAAGATACATGTGTGGATGCCTGGGTGGCTCAGTCAGTTAAGTGTCTGCTTTCAGCTCAGGTCATGATCCCAGGGTGCTGGGATCGAGTCCCACATCGGGCTCCCTGCTCAGCGGGGAGCCTGCTTCTTCCTCGGCCTGCTTGTGCTTTCTCTCTCTCTCTCTGACAAATAAATAAATAAAATCTTTTTTTTTTTTTTAAAGATTTTATTTATTGGTTTGACAGAGAGAGACACAGCGAGAGAGGGAACACAAGCAGGGGGAGTGGGGGAGGGAGAAGCAGGCTCCCCGCAGAGCAGGGAGCCCGATGCAGGACTTGATCCCAGGACCCTGGGATCATGACCTGAGCTGAAGGCAGTCGCTTAACCAACTGAGCCACCCAGGCGCCCAATAAAATCTTTTTTAAAAAAGAAAATATGCATGTGTTCTAAGGTAGGGTTTCTCAATCACTTGACATGTTAGCTGGATGATCTTGGTTGTGTGGGGGGCTGTCCCATGCCTTGTAGGATGTTTAGTAGCAATCTTGATCTCCACCCACTAGATGTCACTAGCACACACATCCAGTGTGACAACCAAAAATGTCTCCAGACATTGCCAAATGTGCCCTAGGGAACAAAATTGCCCCTGATTGAGAACCACTGTTTTAGGCTAATGCTAGTATTAGGAGAATTTTGATGTTTTGTGGTAGGGTTTGTTAAATCTTAGATTTAATGATGGATTAGTTGGTCTTCATCTTATATCTCTGAAGTAAAGAAGGCCTTCACATTTTCAGGCATCTTCTTTTTGCTTTCTTGCCCCTCACCATGCATCCTTGCCACAACACTTAAAGCCCTCAATTCCCACACTGGGAGACACCCAGAATATTAAAAGGATGCATAAGGCAAATTTCTTTTGTTCATAAAGCTGATTATGGTGACAGACATTGATGAAATCTCTCCATTAGCTGGATGACAGACCATTCTTTTTTTGAGAGAGAGAACATGAGTGGGCGGGGGGAGGGGCAGAGGGAGAGGGAGAGAGACAAGCAGACTCTCTGCTGAGCGTAGAGCCTGACTCAGAACTCGATCTCACTACCCTGAGACCATGACCTGAGCTGAAATCAAGAGTTGGACGCTTAACCGACTAAGCCACCCAGGTGCCCCAATGACAGACCATTCTAAGAGAACATAAAAATCATAGCTGGTTTTGCTGTATTATAGGCAGTTAAATGATCACCAGAAACCTCGAACCCTGAGAAGATTATAATGCTTAAGAAATGTGAAGTGAGAAATTAAACCACTTCATGATTCAATTACCTTAAAATTTTCTTCTGTTAGTCCCTCGTTTGTTTTGGAATTTCTTATCATAGCAGCTACATATCTTTTGACTAAATTCCTGATGACTTCCTGGAAATTAAAAAAAAGGGGGGGGCATTCAGTTTTCTTCTCAGGCTCTCAGGAAAATAAGAAACACTGTCAAGAAAAAAAACATGCTCAGACTGTCTTTGCAATAGGAAATCCTCCCGGGATCCAGTCATTTTCCTCAAAAATCCTGTTTAGTCCATTAGTTAAATGAAGAATGACTGTGTGTCCAAATGTGGTGGCAGAGTGGGCCAGCAAAATCAAATTCATCCAACACGAAACATTTCTGCCCACAAAGAAGGCAAACACAGATTCACATTTACAGAATAATGAGAGTGGAATAATCCTTGGATGGTCATGGCCAATACCCTCCCTTTCAGGCTGGATTAAACTTTAACCCTCCTTGTAAGATGAGAGTTGTTCTTCCCTCTTGTGGAATTGATAAAGTCATTCTTTGGTGTCACAAAGTCTGCTGATTTCAATGTCTGCTAATTACATAATCCAGATATTTTTCTTAAAGTCAATGTACACTTCTCCTTTACAGGGATGACTTCTTTTTTTAAAAAAGATTTTATTTATTTTAGAGGGAGAGTGGGGGGGGGGACAAAATGAATCCTAAGCAGGCACCCCACTGATCGCAGAGCCTGGTGCAGGTACACAGGGCTGGATCCCACAACCCTGAGATCATGACCTGAGCCGGAATCAAGAGTCGGAAGCCCAACTGACTGAGCCACCCAGGCACCTCAGGATGGCCACTTTTTACTTAGCCTCCTGGGAATGGCACACACGTGGTCACTCTACTTTGTGTCAGTAACGGTGATGATGACAGCTACCACTAAATGTGCCAGGACACGCGCGCACACACACACACACACGATCACACACACATGATCACACATGCATGCTCACCACTCGATTCTCACAGCAACCCTGTGAGTTAAGTTATATCACCCCCATTTAACAGATGAGGAAACCGAGGCTCAGCAAAGTTAAGTGACTTGTCCGAGGTCACACCAACTGACCAAGAACGATTTTGCTTAGTCACTGGGACGAGCTTTACCTGATAATGTTGATTCTGTATCAGGCTGTCAGCGTGGCGTTCCTGTAATTGAAAATGGACAGAGAGCTCACATCAGTGGTCTCCCAGCAACCCATCCACTCGAATATATTTCTTTATGTTAGGACTGGAGAATAACACAGGAGCTCCTGCCTGACAAACCCCCAGGCCTCTGTAGGTTGGAGTGATTTTATGTTGTTTAATATAGGGACTGTCATGAAGGGTGGGGCAGGGGGGAAGATAGAAAACAGTTTTGTTTAAAAAGAAATGGAATTAGAGGGTATTATGCTAGGCGAAATAAGTCAATCAGAGAAAGACAAGTATCATATGATCTCACTGATATGAGGAATTTGAGAAATAAGGCAGAGGATCATAGGGGAAGAGAGGAAAAGATGAAACAAGACGAAGCCAGAGAGGGAGATAAACCGTAAGAGGCTCTTAATTTCAGGAAACAAACTGAGAGTTGCTGGAGTGGTGGGGGATGGGAGGGATGGGGTGGCTGGGTGATGGACACTGGGGAGGGTATGTGCTATGGTGAGCGCTGTGAATTGTGTAAGACTGATGAATCACAGACCTGCACCCCTGAAACAAATAATACATTATGTTAATAAAAAATAATAATATTTACTGAGCACCTGAAAAAAATGGAATTTTAAAAAGCCTTACTGTGAAGCTTCTCAAGTTGTGCCTTCTCCGTCTACCATCAGGGTCTCTTTTGGGGCAGAAGGTGTTGTTGAACCAGTTACCAAGGTAGAGAAATGACTTGGGACTGGGGATGATGTTGAAAGGAGGTGGCAAGGTGCCGCCTTCATCAAAGTAACTCATCCAGAGTTTTGTCCTTGCAAACTTCCACTCAATATCGGCATGATCCTGTGAAAGAGAGAAGTTCAGGAATTTGGAATAGGAAACTGCAAAATGCACCCATGCTTCCTTCTAAAAGTTCAGCTTGCTTCTATAGAGGGCAATCTGTCAGTAGGTATAAAAATTCAGGGGCGCCTGGGTGGCTCAGTCGTTAAGCATCTGCCTTCGGCTCAGGTCATGATCCCAGGGTCCTGGGATCGAGCCCCACATCGGGCTCCCTCCTCCGTGGGAAGCCTGCTTCTCCCTCCCCCACTTCCCCTGCTTGTGTTCCCGCTCTCGCTGTGTCTCTCTCTGTCAAATAAATAAATAAAATCTTTAAAAAAATTCAAATTACACATACCCCAGGACCCAGTAATCCTACTTTTAGAGATTTATCTGATCATCATACTTGCAAAAAGATGTATGCACAGGGTCATTCACTGTTAGCACTGTAGCTTGTCATAGTTAAATATCCAACAGTGGGAGCCTGCTTGAGTAAATGATGTCATGTCCACAAAATGGCTTGCAATATAGCTATTACAAATATAGTAGCTCTATCACCATTTTATATATAGAACATATATATGTGTATATGCGCTTATCCATATATCTGTAAGAGCTCCAAGACCTGGAAGTGAAAAAAGCAACATAAAGCATCTGTTGCATACCACGATGCCATTTATGCACCCGAAGAACCCTTTATATGACATGCTTACATGTTCTAGACAGGTACATACCAAACTGTCAACAGTGGTTATTTTTAAGGAGTGGAATTGATGTGGGCAGGCTTTTTTTCTTTAAGACTTATCTATTTCAGAGAGAGAGAGGAGGGGTAGAGGGAGAGAACCCCCAAGCAGACTCCCTGCTGAGTGTGGAGCCCGACAGGGTGCTTCATCCCAGGACCCCTGAGATCACGACCTGAGCCAAAACTAAGAGTCGGACGCTCAACTGATGAGCCACCCAGGCACCCCGAGGCTTTTTTAAAAATTCCATATCATTGAGGTATGATTTCCATAGCATTAAATTCACACATAAAATTCACACACATCCAATTCACACATTTTAGGTTTTCCATGAGTTTTGACAAGTGTATATATCTGTGTAACCACCATCATAATCAAGATACACACACACACACACACTTTTCTAGGAGTTTTAAGACCTGAATGGACTGCTGTAACCACCACAGTTAGGATACACAACAGTCCCACCACCTCCCCCAAATTCCTTAGTGTTGCCCTTCTGTAATCAATCTCTCCCCAACCCCTAGCCCCTGGCAACCACTGCTCCATTCTCCAGCACTTTTATTTTTTTAAAAAGATTTTATTTATTTGACAGAGAGAGAGAGCACAAGCAAGGGTGGAGGGGCAGAGGGAGAAGGAGAAGCAGGCTCCCTACTGAGCAGGGATCCCGACTCAGGGCTCGATCCCGGATGCCGGGATCACAACCGGAGCTGAAGGCAGACACTTAACCGACTGAGCCACCCAGGCGCCCCTCCATTCTCCAATGCTTTAGTTTGCCTCTTCCAAGATACCAGATACATGGAATCATACAGTAGATACCTTTTTGAGATTGGCTTTGAGATTTGTCCATGTTCCATTTTAGTGGAACATTTAATTCCAGTTAGGTAACATGCAGTGTTACATTAGTTTCAGGTGTACGATACAGTGATTCAACACTTCCCTGCATCACCCAGTGCCATGTGTCAGGTTTTTAAAGTTTAGCCATTCTAACAGACAAGTAGTTGGAGCTCATTATGGTTTTAAGATGCATTTTCCAAATAGCTACTCATGTTGAGCATCTTTTCATATGCGTTATATCGATATATCCTCTGTGGTGAAGTGGCTGTTCAGATCCTTTGCCCATTTTTATTGCATTGTTTTCTTACAGGTGAATTTATATATATATATACACACACACAAACACATACCTCAGAGACATTGCGGTCTTGATTCCAGACCACCACATAGCAAATATCACAATAAAGCAAGTCAAATGAATTTTTTGGTTTCGTAGTGCATATAAGTTACGTTTACACTATACTGTCGTCTGTTGAGTGTGCAATAGCATTATGTTCAAAAAACAATGTGTACACTTTAATTAGAAAGTACTTTAAAGATTTATTTATTTATTCTCAAGCAGACTCTGAGCTGGGCATGGAGCCCGATGTGGAGCTTGATCCCAGGACCCTGAGATCATGACTTGAGCCGAAATCAAGAGTTGGATGCTTAACCGACTGAACCACCCAGCCACCCCAATTAGAAAGTACTTTATTGCCAAAAAATGGTAACCATCATCTGAGCTTTCAGCAAGTCATAATCACTGATCACAGATCACCATAACAAATGTAATAATATTGAATATGTTTGAAATATTGCAAGAGTTATCAAAATGCAAGAGACAAAAAGTGAGCAAATGCTGTTGGAAAAATGGTGCCAATGGACTTGCTCGTCGCAGGGTTACCACAAACCTTCAATTTGTAAAAAAAAACAAAAAACAAAAAACAAAAAACCACAGTACCTGCGAAGCACAATAAAATGAGGTTTGCCTGGGGTGCCTGGGTGGCTCAGTTGGTTAAGCCTTTGGCTCAGGTCATGATCCCAGGGTCCTGGGATGGAGTCCCACATTGGGCTCCCCGCTCAGCGTAGAGTCTGCTTCTCCCTCTCCCTCTGCTGCTCCCCCTTCTTGTGCTCTCTCTCTCTCTCTGTCAAATAAATAAATAAAATCTTAAAAAAAAAAAAACAACCCATGAGGTATGCCTATATTCTGGATACAAGCTCTTTGTCAGGAATGTGACTTGCAAATGTTTTTTCCCCAGCTGCATCTTGTCTTTTCATACACTCAATGGTTTCTTTCATAGAGCAAGCTGTATTAATTTCAGTGAAGTGAAATTTATCACTGTTGGACTGAGGATCTTAGTCCCTTGCTGGCTATTGGCTGAAGACTTTCCTCAGTTCCTTGCCATATGGGCTTCTCCATAGGACGGCTCATAACATGGCAGCAGGCTTCACTGTAGTGAATGAGAAGAGCCATGGTCTTCATGTACCCTACTCTCTGAAGTGACATCACTTCTGCCATGTCTCATATGTTAGGACTGAGTCCCTAGCCCACAGTCAAGGGAAAAAGATTGTATAAGGGTTCAGATGCCTGGAAGTGGGGATCAGTGGAGTCCGTCTCAGAGGCTTCTTACCGTATTGCTTCCCAGAAATTGAGAAACTGAATGACTGTAATCTTGAGTAACAAACCCTTTTCTAAGTCATGTGGTTTATAATTCCTTGCTTTTGATAAAAGATAAGGCAAACCTAATCAAGTTGTCAGATGATAGATTATTGAAATATTATTTTACAAAAAATCATTACATGACTTTTTGGCATGTAACTCAGAGTTCTAGAAAACTGAATGACAATGGCATAATAAAACTGTCCATTCACATATACTTATTGATATGAAAAGTTTTCTTAGCACTTAATTTTATGAAAATATAAAAATATAGTTGATGCTGAATTTTGTTCCAGAATATTACTTAATATTCTGTGGATATAATAACTAGTTAGATGAAAAACTCTATTCACCTATATAAGCAATTCATTTCCAATAAAAATGTATTTTTATGTCTTATTTATTAAAATTTGTATTATATTTGTGTTCTTTTGAGGTGTTTTGTACTGCTAATCATGGAATCATAACTAAATTCAAAGGAAATGCTTTAACATTTATTGCCTTCTGGCCACAGGAAATAAAAAATTAAAATTTAATTTATATTTTTCTTATGAAGAACTCTCATAGAGTGATCAATAGTAATAACATATTTAAAACAAAAATTTTATAGCATTAGGGTAAAATCCTGTGGGGATGTGAATGGAAATAATGCAAGGAGAAAAGGAATGATGTAAACTTTCTGCCTTTAAAGAAGATTTTAGCCATTTAATTTTAATTTTTTAAAGATTTTATTTATTTATTTATTTATTTGACAGAGAGAGAGAGAGAGAGAGCACAAGCAGGGGGAG